CCCCCCCCCACAGTCTGACGGTGAAGTTTCTGTCTTGTGTTTAAAGAATAACTCCAAGCGCGTGGCTGAGTGTGAGCGAGCGTGTAGTGACGTTGGGAGGCGCCGTGGCTTAACCGAACCGCCCCACTCGGCCGTCCCTCGTCTGGACCAAAACTGCTGACTGGCTGACCCTGACGGTCACATTTGCCCTCTGGGGTTTTAGAAAACCTTAAATGAAAGTTGCTTTTCTCCCTGGCAACTCCCGAGGCTGCTTCCGCGGCCTCTGGGCTGTGGACAGATAAGGACGTGAGTTTCCCCGACCAGGTACTTAACCGCTGGCTGTCGGAGGGTCTGAGGTCGGCTACCATGTGACGTTCGCTTTGCTCTACATCAGCTATTTCCATTTGGCCACCGGGGCCTTGGGTAGTAGACTCCGCTGAGTAGACCGTGAGCCGGAGTTGTGTCTCCTCCGGCGGCGGGAAAGACTAGAGCAATGGTGCAGGTTATTTCAGGACACACTTTTAGTAGTTTTTCAACTTCGAGGTTTTCGGGCTTGGATTATCCGGATGATGGCAGTTCTCCGCTCCCCTTGGTGTGTGCCGTCGCAGCGGCAGAGTTCATTAGAATCCCGAACGTGAAAAAACCGCGCTTGGAAAATCAGTTTGTTTTCTAAAGGACGAATTCGTGTCCTGTGTTCAGTGCATTAGACAACGTGGGTTGTAAAAACGACAGAAGTGTTTGGAAAACATGTTTTTAAGCGGCTCTTCCCCTGTGTTGCGGGGCTTGGAGAGGCTACGCCGACGTGCCTCGGCGAGGGTTAGGAGCTGGGCAGACCCAGAGCGAGAGGCGGCGTCGGCTCGCCCGCCCCGGCGCCGCGGTACCGGGAGGCGGGCGGCGGGTTGGTCGCGGGCGAGCCGGAGGCTCCTTGCTCCGGGACAGCTCCGTGCTTAGTGGAGAAACGGCTCTGAGAAAGGGGCGTCTGTCATTCATCACAACCCTCCGCCACGGACGGATTCCTGATTTTCTAGGGATCTGATTAGGGCGTCCCTTTGACACTCCATTCTGTCCCCACACAAGACCGGCGCGGGGCGGGGAGGAGGAGAGGAAAGGATGAGACGGGAAAAGACTGGGCCCGGGCGGGGGTTGGGCGGGGGAGAGCGGGAAGGACGTGCAGCCAGCGTGTTAAGCCCTCATTAAAACACAAAACCCCTTCCCCACACGCCCTCGTTTCTTTTGTGCGGTCCCCACCGCGGTGCCTGCAATAACCGTGTGAACAGAAATCCAAAACGTTTCATCCTGACTTCTGAAACTTAACCCCAGGCAAAGCACACAGTCGGCGGGGGCCGAGCGGGCCCTGGTGGGCTGGACCAGGTCAGCTCAGGACGCCCGGGACGCGGGGGTGGGGGGCGATGACTCCCCCCCGCCCAATTCGGCCGTCGGCCTCAGGGCGGGAGCCCAATCCGCGCGGGTCTCTGGGCCTGTGCTGGTCTGCAGTGGCTGAGTAGCTGGGCACGCCGAACGCAGCTGAGCGGGCCCGCATCCCTCGGGCTCTCGGACCTCCCCTACGCCACTCAGCTCCAGATCCCCGCAGGCGTGCGGGGCTGAGCCCGACGCGCGTGTTGTCCGCCCCGCATCCAAGGAGGATGTGCCAATGACCTGTCCGCTCAGGCCACAGGTGAACGCGCTAGCAGCAGGCCTGGCGCGAACTCAACCTTCACAACTTTCAGAGAGGGCTGCACGTCTTTCTAAAAACAAATGCCTACAGGTGCAATTAACGTTTGCCACGAGAGCAAGTAATCCCGCGCTTCTAAACGCCAGAGGCAAAACCTGAGATTGTCACTGAAAAAAAATAGAGTTCATTCTCACTCTATTAGTGCATTTGATTACTATAATTGTGAAAAATTGCAAAGAGGAAAATGGTTTGCTTGCAATAAAGTAGCAACTACTTATATATAGTTTTTCCATATTTGCCTTTGAAGACTTAACTGTTCTAACGTGTTATAAAGAAAAATACAGCACGGAAAAGCACACGCGGACTTAATGTCGATTATTGTTATTATTTTTTTTTACAAAGAGAGTCATATATTAAAACCTTTTGGAAAACCGCTGGCACATGGTAAGCGCTGTATAAGTCTTTTAAATAAACAAGAATGCTTAAGACAAAAGACCTCGGTGTTTTTAACACTGTCATAAGCATTATATGCTCACTTATATGCAAAATACTTAATAGTAATTAGGAAGCATGGGATTTTTCAATCAGGTCTTTTATTTCCCTCAAGTATCCTATTTGACTATCTCCTGGTTAGGCGTCTTGCCTGATCTGTCTTCCACTGAAAGTGACTCTCAGGTCAGAGGAGGAAACAGAAGGAGGAAACTCTTTAAAACGCCCCAGTTTGCTTAGGAACGGTTGTGGATTGTCGGGGGCTGGAGGGGGCTGGAGGGGTGGCCAGTGCGGAGAGAAAGAAAAGAGAATGAGAGAGCGGCGGGATTTCAAGCCTCAACGCCCCTCCGCTACATGCTTTTCAGCGAAAGTTGGTTGAAGGCTTACTAAGAGCCGGGGCAGAAGAAAAGCTGTCCGATTGCAGAGCAAACCGCGGTTCTTTCCTTTTCAGAGATTTGTACAATGAGATAATGAGACCCAAAGATATGAAGGACTTTCCTAGAAACGAAATGCCATTAGGAGAGAAAGCCCAGAGCGACGGATCTAAAGGGAATGGAGGAGGGGAGAATCTGCCGTCTTCCCGAAATTGGTCATCTAGCTCATGTTTTGTGCTTATGTGATTTCGCTCACTTAAAGACATGAGAGTGAGATATCGAAAGCCAAGATCTGGAAACCTCAGATTCAATGGCCCTGATCCCCTTCCCCAGTTCTTCTCCCACCCATTTAATTTTACAGCTGGTTAAATTACAATTTTTGTACTTGTATTAATAAGTTTGGTGGTATTGACCTAGTTTTATCTTGTCCCACAACATTTGAGTTTTCTTGCACAAATTAATGAAGTGATTGCTTTGCTGTAATTCTGAAATTCTCCTGGCAGTATTTTGGAAAGGAACCTGGGAATTAAAAAAAAAATCTTCTTGGTCTGCTTTTTTGTTCATTAGAGCACTCTAATGTTTCAAAATCACTTGTCACATGTTTTGCTATTTGTGACTTCTTTGAATCCTTTGAGGTGCTCCTTACAATTGCTTAAAAAGTATCTGCCATTCCAATGTTTGGCTTCTCTTAAGTCACCAAGGCATGGCACCATTTAAAAAAATGTTTAATTTAGTTCTCAGTGAGATTGCAGGCAGTTCTGTTATGTAAAGACTTTTATGTTAGTCTGAGAAACCTAAGTGCACAGAGTTCAAATTGAGCAGTCTAATTTTTTGCCCTATCTGAAATATGTATTATAATTATTTACACAGCTTTCTCTTGCAAGGGGAAGATAAACAGGTTGCTGAGAAGTGGTAGTCTATTTGCAATTGCTGGGGCAGGTGACCAGCACGTGCATCTGTGGGCAGCTTTGTTGGGCTGCCCTCCCTGACTACAGGGCTATTGTGAGCTGGCAATGCTTTAAAGTGTGTGAAAAGGCTGCCCCCTGAGAGTGGAGGCCAAGGGCAAGATCCTTGTAAATTTTAATACCTTTCTCAACATCAGGCTGGCAGAAGGCAGGCCAACCGAGGGTCATGTAAGACAGAACACATGTTAGGAAGGCACTAAAGTAAAACAAAGCTGAAAGCAAGTGCCAATTTAGGCCCACCAACCTTGAAGTCATTGATAAAAGGGAAATGCTTTACTAGCTAACAATTATTTTTGCCTAGCCACATAAAGTACATCATATTTCTTGGCTTGTCCCAAGTGGTGCTACTTACTTATTTGTTACATCAAAAACTCTGAGGTAGGAAATCTTATACCCAAAGCCCCCTTTCTTAGAAGTTAGAATGTTTAAATTGATTTGTTATTAACAGGCAATTTATTTAAAAGCTTTTATTTCAGGAATGGTGTTATTAGTTCTTAGAACATGCCCAGGAATAGAGGCTGGTTTTATTGCTAGACCCTTGAGGAGAAGGTTGTATAATTAGGTAACTAGTTTTCCATATCCCTGTAAGCAACAGTCGAAAGATAACTTCACCCACTCTTATCAACTTCTTCTTTGTGAGGGCTAAATTGATGTTGGGCAGGCTTTTCTTTCAAGGAAATTCTTTTAAATTTCTGTTTTCTTGAAGTTGGTTTGACTGCGAGATATTTTTTTCCTCTTTAAGGATAGAGTTAGTAAGGATATATTCACTTCTCTCATGGAAGAAACCTTTTAACTAACTGCATGCCCATCCTCTAGAGTATGGCCTGACACGTACTGGGTGTACAATAAATGGTTTGAAATGAAATCCTTTTTGAAACCAACGAACTCCCTACTTCTTTCCATATATATAGAATTTAAATACATTGGCATAAGTAACTAGAAATAAACAACCATGAATTTAAACACCAGGAAAGCATTTACTGTTAATGGGACCTTAGTTTAGCCCAGAGCTTCCTGGCAGCCAAGTCAGAAAGAGAAACATAGTGTTTTCTAATTCTTGTAACCAGAAAAGAGGAAGCACATCTGTTTTTCAACAAAGAAAAACTTTATCCAGCAGCTGAATTCTAAAAGAACTACATGATTGCTGTGTTCACAGACTTAAGAAATTTTATTTAAAACAATTATACTTTGTCTAAAATTCTCTTCCAAGTATTATATTAATTATAAAATGAACAATAACATTCATATTATGCAAAAAATGAAGACAATAGTTTATCTACTAATAGCCCAATAAGCCATCTACTAAGCTCTCAAGAGTAAATAATTGCCATTAATAGGACCTGTGCCTCAAAGAGTTTCAAAAATCTGGATTCTCCACAGTAAAGTTTCTGCTTTCAGTTTTAGAAAAAAAAAATATATCAAAGATTCGTGGATCTGGTTGGTTGGCATTATTTGATGAAAGTGAAAGAAAGAAACTCTACACGTTTCTGAAATATCAATTTCTGTGGAAAAATATAAGAGTAAAATTATTTCCCACTAGAATGCAAATTAACACCTATATTTTCTTAACATTTTTATTGGAACATTTTATTAGATGTGTGCATATTTATGCCCTTATCTGCTTATTTAAAAATTGATAGATGACTTTATGGAGAGGAGAACTCTCCTAGGTTGGAAATAAGAACTTGCTAATTTTAGATTTTCTGTGGAAAAAAAAATAACAGGTTATTTTTGGACCTTCATGCTTTGCAAACCTATTGAAGTGCATACTTTATGAGAAACATAGAAAAATAACAAGTTTTTTTTCCCCCCAAGACAGGGCTGTATTGGTTTTAGCAGATTCTGGTTACCCAGAATTTAAGTAATTCTGGGTATCTACTGGTTGAAAGGCAAAGCACAGAAGT